GAATTACTCAAAATTTGTTAGTCAATTTTAAGGTGTAAAATTATCAAGTACCTTTACTTGAAACGATATGCTTACCTTTCATGGTTTTGGGGTATGTAGTAGCACTTTTCAGCCAGCAGGTGGCGTTGGTACAGCTCCAAAACAGGGCTTGCTGGCGATCTTGGCGGGAGTCAGAGATGGCAGAAATCGGAGCCAGCACTCTCCAGCCTCTTTTGCTGGTCTCGGGGCTAAGCTAGGGAACTGAGATCAGACTAGCTGCTCCCTTATTGGGAATGGAATCATGTAGGCGATTCCTGGTTATATGGAACATTGCAGGCGGGTTTAGGTACCCGCCAGCCAGGGAGGAGAGGACGGGAGCAGCCCAGGCTTTGGAATTTGCCCCATGCGAGTGCAGATATTGGTGAAATTATTAAGGCCACTCCACTTAGTTAAAAGGAAGGTTTATTTAGTGGGCAACTTACAAAAAGGGAAAGGTAGGTCACAGGGTCTAGGGAAGGTGTATCGCAGTCCAGCAGTCTTCTCTGGAGCTCTGCTCAGTCCACCTCCACCGTTCAGGGTCCTGGCACAGAGAGAGCGCTCACCCATCCAGATCTCGGGTCTCCAGGTGCCTTCCCTAGCCCCGCCTCTTAGGTGTAGGCATGACAGTTGCCAGAGTCTCAATGGGGGTTGGAACTTCCAGATCCAAGCTGGAATGGCTACCCACTACAGACCAGCCTTCCACACCGACACACCAGCATACAAACCGACACACCAGCCCTCCACACTGACACACCAGCCCTCCACACCCACACACCAGCCCTCCACACCGACACACCAACATCCACACTGACACACCAGCCCTCCACACTGACACACCAACATCCACACTGACACACCAGCCCTCCACACTGACACACCAGCATCCACACTGACACACCAGCCCTCTACACTGACACACCAGCCCTCCACACCGACACACCAGCCCTCCACACTTACACACCAGCCCTCCACACCCACACACCAGCCCTCTCTGCTGCCACACCAGCCCTGGGATAACTCACTAAGTAGCCCAGGCTAGCCTCAGCTTAGTCTCCCACCTCAGCCTCCCAAGTGCTGAGGCAGCATGGAGCGCCACACCTGCCTGTATCTACTTAGGTTTCCCTCAGACAAGTGTTTCCCAATCCAAACCCCTCTTCAGTGCTGGGTATAAAGCAAGAGCCTGGGTCCCAGTGAGACCCCTCATCCAGACACTGGCCCTGGGTGCCGACCCCATCCTGAAAGCTGACAGCCTTTTTTTTTTTTTTTTTTTTCCTGCCATGTGCAGGTACCTGGGAGACGTGGATGCAACCATGTCCATCCTGGACATCTCCATGATGACTGGATTTGTTCCGGACAAAGACGACCTGGACCTGGTAGGGAGGCTTGGGTCTGGGGTGCAGGGAGTCTGAGGTCCAGAGAGGCTGCGGGGAGACGCGGAGTGATTCTCACCAGCTCTGCTCTTCCTCAGCTGAGCCAAGGAGTGGACAGATACATCTCCAAGTACGAGCTGAGCAAAGAGTTCTCCACCAAGAACACCCTCATCATCTACCTAGAAAAGGTACTGCCGTCCCGGGGAGGGTTCCATGTCTCCCTTCCTGTCCTTTCCCAGATGAGTTTCTCCCTCCCTCATGACAGGTAGCTCAGGCTAGCCTCAGGCTTGGGAATACAGGATCCGTGCTATGGGGTGATCAGAGAAAGAGTTTGTAAAATGTGGTGACCAACTCCAAGCTGCCCCTCCCCTCCCCACAGTCTAACTGGTGTGGGAGATAAGCGAGTTCTCTGCTCCATGATCAGGGACCCAGACTCCTTCCATGAGTGGGTATACCCCCCCCAGGATGATCTTTGAGTGTGCAGCAACTGCGTCAGAAAAGTGAACTGTGCATGAGTTTGATTGTGCAAGGCAGGGTCTCTCCGTGTAGGCTGAACTGGCCCCAAACTCACAATCATCCTGCTTCCTCCTCCCGAGGTTGGAATTATAGAGGTGTGTCACCAGACCTGGCTATCCCAAGCCTGAGGCTATCCATGTTTTCATGAGCACTGTCAGAGCGGCCCCTCATTGCTCTAACAAAACACCTGAGGTGGCTTGATAGAGAGAGAGATGTTAAGGGCAAATTGTTGGAAAATAACAGCCCAGGACTGGTTGATCCCAACTGTTTAGCCTGTAACAAAAGCCCCAGGCAGATGGCTAGAGAGCGTGCCAGAGAAAGGCCACACAGTGCAGGCAGGGCCAAGAGAAGTCCAGGAACCGCGCTCCTTTTTATAATGACCTACACGACGGTAACAAATTCCCTCCACTGAGAGCTGGTCCGCTCCTCCCAGAGAGGCACTAATCCCCTCCGGAGGTGATCCCCTATGGCCCAGTTACCTCCCTGAAAGGTTTGGTCTGCTTAATGCCACTGTATTGTGGTCTGAATGAAGAGAAGTCAGAACAAACAGCAGCAGGTAGACAGTGGCCAGCGGCCAGAGCGCCGTCACCTGGGTACCTCTAACTCAGAGTGAGGCTGCGAGTGGTCTGGCTCCAAACGTGATGGAAAAGGAAGTCAGGGTCGATGACTGCTCCTTCCTCCTTGCTGGTCCACCCCACACCTTCTAGAGCAGTGGTTCTCAACCTTCCTGACACGACATCCTCATGTTATAGCGACCCCCAACCATAACATCTCCTTCATTGCTACTTCATGACTGTAATTCACTAGTGTTATGGGTCACAATGTAAACATCTGTACTTTCTGATGGTCTTAGGTGACCCCTGTGAAAGGGTTGTTCAACCCCCAAAGGGGTTGCGACCCACAGGTTGAGATCCACTGTTCTAGAACATGCTTGGTCCCTCAATTTCTTCACGATGGCTCCAAAGGCCAGGGCTGTGTCCGGGGCTTCCTCTGTGACCCTCCCTGACCAGCTCCACCCTTCCCCTCAGATCTCACACTCTGAAGAAGAATGTCTGTCCTTCAAAGTCCACCAGTTCTTTAAAGTGGGACTCATCCAGCCCGGCTCGGTCAAGGTCTACTCCTATTACAACCTGGGTGAGCAGGCAAGGCAGGGCAGGATGTTGGGGGTTCTGTGTGTTCAAGGACCCGGAGATCTGAGTATCAGTTCTGGCAGCACCAAAGATTAAAACATTGGGGGTCCTGGGGGTCCCTATGCTGAGGTTGTTTGAGTCCTAGGAATTGGAGAATTGGGAGACGCATGGTCCAAGGATTTGCAGGTTGGGGTTTGAGGAGCCAAGACTCCTAGAGGCTGGGAGGGCCTGAGAATTCTAGGGACCTACCGTTTTGACGTCTGAGCGTCTCAGGGCTCTAGATGGAGGTCTCAAGACACTACAGTCGACTTGAAGGGCCAAAAGAACAGAAAACCTGGGGTCTGAGTGTCACAGGGGTCTGGGGTTGGGGACCTAGCATCTCAGGGCTGAGGGGACTCACTCACTGGGCATTTCCCCGCAGGAGTGGTCTCTGGGGTGGAGTCCCTGGCCCTCTGACCTCTTCCCATCACTTCTGCCCACAGAGGAATCCTGCACCCGGTTTTACCATCTGGATAAGGAGGATGGAATGCTGAGCAAGCTCTGCCACAATGAAATGTGCCGCTGTGCTGAGGGTGGGTACCAGGAGGGCGTGAAGGGTGGACGGGGCCAGGATACATGGACACAAACTCTCCACTCCCATGGGGGGCGCGCGGCTGAAAGCCTCACTCAGGGGACCTGGAGTAGGATAGGTGTTCCCTCTGGGGCCAGCCCCAGCGCAGACAGAGGGACTCAAGAGCCTGTGTCACCCCACCCCACAGAAAACTGCTTCATGCACCAGGCACAGGAGGAGGTCAGCGAGAAGGAACGGCTGGAAAAGGCTTGCGAGCCTGGAGTGGACTATGGTGAGTGTGACTTCTGCTGGCTCTGTCACACCGTGTGGAGTGAGCGATGGGGTGGCGTGATGGTGTGTGACTAGCAGGGAACAGCAGGTGCCTGTGTTCCGTCGGGCTCTGGCTGTGTGTGACTGTTGCGTTTGGAACACGTGTAGATGTGCAGTGAAGGGGTGTGCGTGATCTGTGTTGTGTGATGTTTTCTGGGGAGGCATTCACCCCAGATAAGGCACAGACCCCCCAAGTCCAGCTTTCTGAACCAGTGAGTTACTGGGGTTACTCATTAAAGCTGGAGTGAGGGGTTCCTCACAGGAGCATGAATGACTTTTATAACCTCTGGGAGGGGCCCTGTGGACCTGGTAAGTTTCCTTTATTTCCTGAGTCTTAAGGGCCCTTCCTCCAGAACCTGAGGCTTCAATGTCAAGGGTGTAGCTAAATACTAGGGAGTCATGGCCTGAGTGGGTGCTAGCAAGTGAGAGAAGGTGGGTGTGGCTATGGGAGGGGTTGGCCAGGAGGCTGTAGTATATAACCATGGGTATGTGGAGCTGTGGATGGGGATAGCTCAGTCATATGGCTCTGCTGCCCAAGCGGGAGGTCCTAGATTTCATCCCCAGCACCCGGGGAAAAGCTCAGCACGGTGACACATGTCCCTAATGTGAGCACTGGGGAGGCAGAACCAGGAGGTTCTCAGGGCCAGCCTGGCCGCACCAATGAGTTCAAGGTTTCAGTAAGGTCCTGTCTCAGAAAAACCCGAGCAATGTGGCTGACTGGAGAAGAGCTGCCTCTGTCTATAAGACTCCTTGCCTATAATGCTGATCGTGGGCATGGTACTGTGGCTATGAATGTGCACGTGCTTCTGTGGCCTGGAGTAGCCGGTACCCTCAGTCACAGGAACCTTTACCATGGATGCCTGTGCGTGTCGGCAGCGGTAACACTCACAGGTAGCTGTGACTGAGTACAGGAGTGAGTCTGGGCATGGCTGCTGGTTGTGTGTGTTCCTGGGACGGGACACACTGAAGTGCCCATGGCTCTGACTCAGCCTGTCTCTGCTGGTAGGTGGGGGAGTCACATGGTCAGGGGCAGGTGCTGGTGAGAGCCCCATGGCCAACCCTGCTCATGACCCTCACTGCCCCTTCCCCCACAGTGTACAAGACCAGGCTAGTCTCGACGGAGCTGTCGGATGATTTTGACGAGTACATCATGACCATCCAGCAGGTCATCAAGTCAGGTACCCAGCCCTCTGTCTTCCCACCTCCCCACCCCCACGCCCTCTGCGGGGGCTCAGCCTCCCCTTCCCTGCTCCACAGGCTCAGATGAAGTGCAGGCAGGGCAGGAACGCAGGTTCATCAGCCACATCAAGTGCAGACAAGCCCTGAAGCTGCAGAAAGGGAAGCAGTACCTCATGTGGGGCCAGTCCTCGGACCTCTGGGGAGAAAAGCCCGAGTAAGTGCCCATTCTGCGCATGTGCACGCTGTGGCTGCCCCTCTAGCCCCACCCACTGCCACAGGAGCCCGCCCTCACCTGCTCTCCCTTCCCCAGCATCAGCTACATCATCGGGAAGGACACATGGGTGGAGCACTGGCCCGAGGCTGATGAATGTCAGGATGAGGAAAACCAGCAACAGTGTAGGAATCTGGGGTCCTTCACAGAGAACTTGGTGGTTTATGGCTGCCCCAACTGACCACAGCCCAGCCCTCCAATAAATCTTCAGTTGTAATTCACCCTCCTTCCAGTGTCTGGAGTCGTGGTATGATTGTGTGTGCGCGCCTGTGTAATCATGTTTCTGTGTAAGGTGCATGTGTGCGCATACATGTGGACACCAAAATTCTTTCCTTTTTTTCCTTTTTTTGTTTTTTTTTCCCTTTCTTTCTTTCTTTTGTTTGTTTGTTTGTTTTTCAAGACAGAGTTTTTTTATGTAGCCCTGGCTATCCTGGAACTCACTACATAGACCAGGCTGGCCTCAAACTCACAGAGCTCTGCCTGCAAGAGTTCTTAACCGCTGCAACTTCTCTCGGCTGTGCGCACCTTGTTTGCCTGGGGCTCCCTGATCAGCTAGGCTGTGTCTCTGTCTCTGTGCTGGGATTGTGTGCGCCCAGCACAGAGACAGACACACCTGCTGACTCACCTGGAGCTCAGACACACACACACACCTGCTGACTCACCTGGAACTCAGACACACACCCACACACACCTGCTGACTCACCTGGAGCTCACACACACCCACACACACCTGCTGACTCACCTGGAGCTCACACACCCCCCCCACACCTGCAGACTCACCGGGAACTCACACCCACCCACACACACCTGCTGACTCACCTGGAGCTTACACACACCCCAACACACCTGCTGACTCACCGGGAACTCAGACACAGACACACACATGCTGACTCACCTGGAGCTCAGACACCCACCCACACACACCTGCTGACTCACCTGGAGCTCACACACACCCACACACACCTGCTGACTCACCTGGAGCTCACACACACACACACACACACCTGCTGACTCACTTGGAACTCAGACACCCCCCACACTCACCTGACTCACCTGGAGCTCAGACACACCCATACACACACCTGCTGACTCACCTGGAGCTCACACACACCCACACACACCTGCTGACTCACCTGGAGCTCACACACACACACACACACACACACACACACAC